AAAATACGTAAATTTCAATTTTGACTCAAAAACAAAACAAAATTTCGTTCTCAAAATACGATCACATTTTTTATATTACTCTAATTTATATTAATTGTTATTTTTTGGAGGCAATTAAAAAAAACGCTTTATTATCACCCTGTATAAGACTTAAACCAGGTTTCAGAATCTTTGTGTAAAAAAAAGAGATTTGTAAAATTGCACTGTTGCGCTAAAAATAATTTACCTTTTACTCACTTGCGTTCGTTTTTGTGATTTATTTATGATTTCTAAGATATTCCAAAACTGAAAATGAATATCTTTTGTACAATCTTAAAAACCTAAATTTACCCAAATTTCGAAAATTTGATAAACCAAAATGCTTTAATTGTAAATAATCGTTAACTGTACTTTCACTTTTTTACGTTGTAAAATTTAAACCAAGTTTCCAGCATTTTGACTAGTGATAAAAACGAATTTGCGTAAATAAATTTAATTTTTCCGTTTTGTGACTTATTTACCACCTTAGAAACTAAAATTTACCAGATTTCGCAAATCTGGTGCACAATTCGTTGTGTTCGCGATTATATTTTCAAAACCCTAAAAATTTTACAAATAATTTGACAGACATTTGTTTTTTACCGAAAAAGGGCGTTTTTCCAGTGAAAAGAATAATTATGTCGTATTAAAAACGCGTTTCTTAACTTATTTTTTGCGAACCAAAAAAATACTTGTCAAAATAAAGGATATACAAAATTAGTCAGTTTTTATTGTAAAATATTAACAATAAAATTGAACATTTTTTTTCTACATGAAAACTTCAAAATTTGATTTCTGGAATTCTTAGTCTTCTAACATTTCCATGGGCGTCGTTAAATTTTTTTTAGAGAGGAGCAACCTCATCGCTGTTTAAAAATACATATTTTATTACAAACACAAAAACATGTAATACAAAATACGAACATAAAACCATATTTTTTCTAACGGAAATTATAAATGAGACTATAAGACATGAATCTCTAAAACCATAAATTGGAGTATAAAAGTGTCAAAGTTAAATAAAATAAAAAATAAAAAGTTAAGCATAAAATAACACAAATCAGTAAATAACATGAACTAATAAATACTAAGAAAAATGTAACACTTGGAAATCAAAACATAAAATAAAAACTCTTTCAAAATACATTCAAAAAAGCAATAATCAATAAGAAATAAAAAAATTAAAGAAATAAAAGTTTTAAATTTCGTTTTTCTCAACCAAAATCGTCAATGCAAAATGAGCGTGTTTTTTATTAGACATGTGCAAAAAACAGCCATTTTGAATCGTGTTTTATACAAGATTTTTTCCAATTTATTTTTATTTTCGAAAAACTTCCAGGGTTAACTTCCGCCCATGAACATTTCTTTGCTTTTTGAGGACACTCTGTATATGTATAAAGTTGTCATTTGGTATTCGTTGTGTTCACGACTATAGTTATTCTCATATTTTAAACAATTTTCAAAACCCTAAAAATTTTACAAATAATTTGACAGACATTTGTTTTTTACCGAAAAAGGGCGTTTTTTTAAAGTGAAAAGAATAATTGTCCTATTAAAAACGCGCTTCTTAACTTATTTTTTGCGAACTAAAAAAATATTTGTCAAAATAAAGGATATATAAAATTAGTCAGTTTTTATTGTAAAATATTAATAAAAAAGTTGAACTTTTTTTTCTATATGAAAACATTTCCATGGGTGTCGTTACATTTTTTTTTAGAGAGGAGCAACCTCATCGCAGTTTAAAAATACATATTTTATTACAAACACAAAAACATGTAATACATAAAACCATATTTTTTCTAACGGAAATTACAAATGAAACTATAGGCCAAGAATCTCTAAAACCATAAATTGAAGTAAAAAAGTGTCAAAGTTAAAATAAATACTTATAAAAAATAAAAAAATATAAAAATCATAAAAGTTATGAAAAAATAACATGAAGTAATAAATACTAAGAAAAATGTAACACTTATAAATCAAAACGTAAAATAAAAACTCTTTCAAAAACATTCAAAAAAGCAATAATCAATAAGAAATAAAAAAATTAAAGAAATAAAGTAAAAAAACAGCCATTTTGAATCTTGTTTTATACAAGATTTTTTCCAATTTTTTTTTATTTCCGAAAAAATGTCAGGCTAACTTCCAGGGTTAACTTCCGCCCATAAACATTTCTTTGCTTTTTGAGGACATCTGTATATGTATAAAATTGTCGTTTGGTATTTGTGCTAACCGAAGGAGAAGTTTTATTGATTTTCTCATTCTGAGCATTATTTCAGCTGTTATGAAATGGTTTTCTTCCACTCATTAATCATTGATTCAGTTTTCTACATTAAAAAAAAATGTCACACTTTATAAACGTGACTTTATTTACTACATGATTATTAAAATGAAGCAAACTCCTTATCAGCATTGAGTAACACAATATGATTCGTATTTTCCTATAAAGTGCACTGTTTTTCACTGCTATTAATACCCAACTATCAAAATTATTAATTGATATGACGTAGAAATGATTCAATTAGATATAAAACAAGATGAACTCATTTGATCTGTGTCAGTGGCTGATTTCATATCCTAGTTGGTTTTCTTGTAGAGTATGCCGAACACAACCCTTGAAAATTCGCCCAATGCGGTGCTGAACAAGTCAGTGGCTGAAAGGTACCGCCATTTGGCATGTCCTGAAAATAAGGTGAAAGCCACCTACATATGGATTGATGGGACTGGTGAAAATGTGAGGGCGAAAACACGCACCGTCGATTTTATCCCAAAGAAACCCGAAGGTAGGAGTTTTTTATCGATCGGTGTGACCTTTCACGCTATAGTATATTATCACAAGGTAGAGAAGAGACTTTTTTAGCCGAGGTGCGGAGCACCGAGGGAAGTAATGAATGCGAGCCTATAAAAATCTTCTCTACCGTGTGTTGTATAACATTTTTTTCACTACTAGCACATTTATTACCGGTGAAAAATATAACCTTACTTCACAACTATTATTTTTGTTATTTTATTGTTATCTACAGTAATTACTTACCTCATTTGGAATTATTATTTTCTTTTTATCATAAATGAGGTTATTTCATTTTTGTATTTCTACATCTCGGTGGAGGTAGCTTTACCCCTACCATTTTCATTTCGTGCAGCCAGGTTCACACTCGAAAAATTGTTGGAATATTATTAAAATAATGCATAATATTTTACAGATGGAAAAATGAGCATTATAGATAGTTTTTTGACGTTTTTAATGTAATTCTGTCATGAATAATAATTTAAATGAATTATATTGTTGCAACTGTGCGCTTCAAGGTCACTTATGAAATACTTGTTAACTTTATTTTTTTCAAGTGTCATCCCGTGTATCGATTTTTTTCATTTTTGCAGAAAATGAAGCTTATTAAAAGGGCATTTGATGGTAAAAAATGGTAGGTTACAATGGCTTATTAGGACTGTAATGAATTTTTTTCGTTTTCTCAAAATTCGTTAATAATACAAACTTCATTTTTTTCAAGTGTCATCGCGTGTATCGATTTTTCATTTTTGCAGAAAATGGAACTTATTATAAGAGCATTTGACTGTAAAAAAAATGGTGGGGTTACAATGGCTTTTTAGGGCTCTAATGATTTTTTTTCGTTTTCTCAAAATTCGTTACTAATACAAACTTTATTTTTTTCAAGTATCATCCCGTGTATCGATTTTTTCCATTTTTGCAGAAAATGAAGCTTATTAAAAGGGCATTTGACTATAAAAATGGTAGGGTTACAATGGCTTTTTATCGCTGTAGTGATTTTTTTTCGTTTTCTCAAAATTCGTTAATAATACAAACTTTATTTTTTTCAAGTGTCATCCCGTGTATGGATTTTTTTCATTTTTGCAGAAAATGAAGCTTATTAAAAGGGCATTTGACTGTAGAAAAATGGTATGGTTACAATGGCTTTTTAGAGCTGTAAAGAATTTTTTTCGTTTTTTTTTAAATTCGTTAATAATACAAACTTTATTTTTTTCAAGTCTCATCCCGTGTATCGATTTTGTTCATTTTTGCAGAAAATGAAGCTTAATAAAAAGGCATTTGACTGTAAAAAAATGGTGGGGTTACAATGGCTTTTAAGGGCTGTAATGAATTTTTTTCATTTTTCTGCAACTATTAACGGAATTTTCTAACTTCATAATATGAAATATTTATTCAAATAACAAATAAACTGCAAAGAAGCGGGAATAAGTGTTAAAATTTATCTCATTACCGATAGTATTTTAACAAGAAATAAACCCATTTGTTGTTGGACAGTATTGACATTGACAGATATTAGAGTTGGGGTTATTCTGATGTTTTTAATGAGGAAATTTAAGTCTTTTTTATTTGATTTTGCATTATTTGCATCTCGAAATACTTCCGTTAGTACTTGTGATAGTAATAGTTTTCAATAATAATAATATAATAACCTCTAACATCGGCATTTACCCACCTCTAATTTATTATTTTCGTAGTCGTTGAAACGGATCATTTTAAGGTGGCAACCATGCAAAAATTCAAACAATCCTAACCTCAGTCTTCCCTAAAAATTATTTTTTCAAATAAATGTGTACCCCAGGCAGCAAAAAATAATTATAATTAACATAGGTAGCAAACATAAAGATTTTTGTCATTATTTTGTCACTTTTTGTGTGAATTGGCCTTTATTAAAGATGCCTTTATAGACTTCTACAACAGTTTTATAAAGTTAGTAGTAATTTTTTTTTCGTAGAGTTGCCGGTTTGGAACTACGATGGGAGTTCCACCTACCAAGCCGAAGGCTCCAACTCCGACACTTATCTCTGTCCCGTCGCCATGTACAACGACCCCTTCAATGGGGGCAACCACAAATTGGTCATGTGCGACACTTACAAGTACAACAAAAAACCCACAGAGACCAACCACCGACACACTTGTCTCCAAGCCATGGAGGCGGCGAAAGACACCAAACCCTGGTTTGGGATCGAACAAGAGTACACTTTACTCGATATGGATATGAGGCCTTTGGGGTGGCCCAAAAACGGGTTTCCTGGCCCCCAAGGGCCTTATTATTGCGGCGTGGGGGCTAACAAAGTCTACGCCCGGGATATAGTCGAGTCTCATTACAGTGCTTGTCTCTATGCTGGGATTAACATTGCGGGGACCAATGCTGAGGTTATGCCAGCTCAATGGGAGTATCAGGTGGGCCCCTGTGAGGGGATTTCCATCGGGGATGAGTTATGGGTCTCGAGATATATTCTGCATCGTGTCGCTGAAGATTTTGGGGTTATTGTCACATTTGACCCTAAGCCCATTGAAGGCGATTGGAATGGGGCTGGGGCTCATACTAACTTCTCCACTAAAGCGATGAGGGAAGATGGGGGGATTATGTAAGTTGGAGGCAGTGGTGCCAGGTCAAAAACAGAAAATTCACCAGATCTGGGTTGAAAAATTTGACAAATTTTCACCAGATTACGATTTTTATGGCGCGAAAAAATGCTTGAATTCTTGTTTTCAACAAAATTTTGCGAAATAATTGCGTTTCTAGCTGAAAAACGTGCTAAAACGCTCGAAAAATGTCAATTTATTTATTTTTTAGTTTGTTTTAACGAAATATATCGGAAAACTTTTAGTACAAAAACGTACTTGAAAGAATTTTGTGGCCAAATTTTGTGTTTTCTCGTCTTATTTTTGTTTTAATTTGCATAAAAACCAGATAAATCAAGGGATACAATAAAAATAACATTAATATTAATCCTTTTTGTGATTTTGCAAAATAAATGGACGAAACAAGCTACAAAATGAAACAATTTCAATTTAGTTTTGTAGTTTTTTAGCCTGTTTCAATGCATTATTTTGAACTTTCTGAGGTGTTATCTCTTCAAAAGGCAAAAAAATCGTTTTTTGGGCTATTTTGTTGAATTTGTGGCTTGCATTTGACTAAATTTGGCAAAATAATTGATTCTGTTTAGTAATATCTGGTAAAAAACAAATAGAACTATTTTTAACCAATGTGCTAGTTTTCGATAATTTTTTTTTCGAGAAAATTTGATGGAATAAGTTAAAGTCTAAGAGTTATATAAGTAAAAATATCACAATATAATTTTTTTATAACAATTTAGTGATTTTTGACCGCGTTTTCAGCTTAAAAATCCGCTTGAACTTTGGAAAAAGGAAAAATGATTTCTTTCTCGGTTTAATTCTGTGTTTTTTTGGCTTGTTTTTAACAAAATTTTGCGAAATAATCGCATTTTTAGCTGAAAAACGTGCTAAAATTTTCAGAAATGCTAAATTAATGTTATTTTTGAATTAATTTGTTGATTTTTCGGTTCAAAATCGGCAAAAAACCTGAGATTGTAGCACAAAAACGTGCTCAAAAACATTCTCGTCTTATTTTTGTCTTATTTTGCTCAAAAATCGAGTGAAACAAACAAAATAACATCAATATCCATTGTGATTTTTAAACGTGTTGGGACAAGATTTTGCAAAATAAATGAGCCTCTGGTTCAAAAACGAAGGAAGTTGAGTGAAACAAGCTAAAAATAATATCAATTTCGATTTAATTTTGTAATTTTTTTTTTGCCTGCTACAACGAAATTTTTAGAATTTTCTTTGTTTTTATCTCAAAAAAACTTGCTTAAACACTTAAATGGGCAAAAAAACGCTGTTTTTGGTCGAATTTTTGAATTTTTGGATTGTTTTTACAAAATTTAGCGAAATAATTGTGTTTCTAACTAAAAAAGTATTCGAAAAAGACAAAAATTAATTGTCTTTTGGAATAAAAACAAAACTATTTTAAACCAATTTAGTAGTTTTTCAACTTTTTTGAAAAAATTTGACGAAATAATCGAAATAATGTAATTTTTTTGCCTGTTACAACGAAATTTTTAAAATTTTCTTTGTTTTTATCTCAAAAAACTTGCTTAAACACTTAAAAGGGCAAAAATAAGGCTGTTTTTGGTCGAATTTGTTGAATTTTTGGATTGTTTTTACAAAATTTAGCGAAATAATTGTGTTTCTAGCTGAAAAAGTATAAATTTATAAATTGTCTTTTGGAAAAAAAAAACAAAACTATTTTAAACCAATTTAGTGGTTTTTCAACTTTTTTGAAAAAATTTGACGAAATAAACAAGTTTCTGGTAGAAATAATAATAATAAATTTATTCATGTGTTACAACAATTATTGTTTACATTCGTCAAAAACGTGGGACATGCTCGAAAAACAGTTTTTTTTTTCAAAAAATCACCAGAAATTAGAATTTTTACAAAAGTTTTTACCAAATCATTAAACTAGTAAAAAATCACCAGATCTGGTGAAATTTCAGCTGGTTAGGGTTTTGAGTTTGGTCAAGTTTGAGATTTTGTTTTTTAGTGAAATCGAGAAGGCTATTGATAAGCTCAGTAGAAACCACCTTAGACACATCCAGGCCTACGACCCCAAGGGGGGAAAAGACAACGAACGTCGTCTCACCGGCCGACATGAAACATCCTCAATCCATGACTTCAGTGCAGGTATTTGATTTTTTCCTTTTAATTCTGTTTTTTTTTTCAATGTTTTTGTTTAGGTGTTGCCAACCGTGGCGCGAGTATTCGCATTCCTCGCGGTTGTGCGGAAGAAAAGAAAGGTTATCTTGAAGATAGAAGACCTTCTTCTAATTGCGACCCCTATGCAGTATGTGAAGCTTTGGTCCGAACATGTATTCTAGATGAATAAATAGAAACTAATTTTATTTTTTTTTGTTTAATTTTTTTTTTTCATACGACTTGTGTGTTATTGGAGAAGTTTTATTCTTCAATCTAGCAGAAACAATGTATTCAGTATATGTAAATATTTAACGCCATATCAGTAGGTTTAGTGCATGCCACGAAATATTGGTTGATGGGAATAGAATATTAAGCACATGCTATATCAAAATGTATTTTGTTACGTTGTCAAATAGTTTATACAAGTTATTGTAATTGCAAGAATTCAAATATATTTGCTATGTTCACACACTTGGTTTTTATTTAATGACACAATAGATTGCTCAGTAATCAGTTTTACTTAAAAGAAATAACTGTTTTTTTCATTTAGGTACAGTTGGAGACAAAATACTTTGGTCGTCAATGTCACTTGAGTGACATTAAATTGTAAAGCATGCTTTAAGATTTTAACCTTATTTTTAGCTACTTAACGTTAAAGCTTGAATTACATTAAAGTGTCAGAAAAGTGTAACTGTACAGTTATGGAATTAAAATTTCGGGCAGTATTTTTCCGTCACTTGAAAAAGTTTACTGTAAACTACCTTTTACTGTCATCATGACTGACATTTGACTTAAACTTTTCTGTCGATGACGTTATTTTTTAAGTCAAAATGACAAACATGACAAAAGTAAAAAATGAGGTTATTAATGTAAAGGTTGTTTTAGAGTTTACAGTTGCGGAATTAAAATTTCGGGCAATATTGTCATTTCCATAATGTAAACTCTAAAACAACCTTTACCTTCATAATAACCTCATTTTTTACTCTTGTTAAGTTTATGTCATTTTGACTTATTTACTTTAAAAAAAAATGATTTGTGACATAATACAGGTAGGCAGCAAATCAAAGCGATGATTTAATTACACTTAGTTCAATTAATAAATTTATTTAACAATTTTAACAACAAAAAAAGTTTAATTGTCAAATGTCAGTCATGATGACAGTAAAAGGTAGTTTACAGTGAACTTTTTAGAGTGCCCGAAATTTTTTTGGCCTATTTTTAACAAAATTTTGCGAAATAATCGCATTTTAGCTAAAATTTTCAGAAATGCAAAATTAATGTAATTTTCAACTTAATTTGTTGATTTTTCGGTTCAAAATCTGCAAAAAACCTAAGATTGTAGCACAAAAACATTCTCGGCTTATTTTTGTCTTATTTTGCTCAAAAATCGAGTGAAACAAACAAAATAACATCAATATCCATTGTTTTTATGATTTTTAAACGTGTTGGGATAAGATAAAAAATAAATGAGCCACTGGTTCAAAAACGAAGGAAGTTCAACATTAATTTCGATTTAATTGTGTAATTTTTTTGCC